ACAGTAGTTGCAAAGTACTTTTTGAGAATTTTACATAGTAAATGAGAAAAGTAGGTCACACTCATTTTTTATAAACCAACTTTCATAAGTGTGCCTATACTTAATGATCAGAGTACATTTATAAGTGATCTGAAAATAATTTTAAAATAACAGTTTAAATAATTAACAATTTTTTTTTTTTTTTGTACTGGGTACTAAACCTAGTGCTTTTGGACTAGACCACACTTTCCCAAGCCCTTTTAAATTTTTTTTTAAATTTTGAAATGGTCTTGCTGAGTTTCCCAGGCTGAGCTTGAACTTGTGATCCTCCTGCCTCAGCCTCTCAGAGTGTTGGGATTGTAGTTATGTACCATCATGCCTGCCAACAATCTTGTATTTGTTTCTGTTTTCTGTAAATGATGGAAATTTTTATCCTCCTCTTCTCTCTCTGTCTTAGTTACTTTTCTCTTGTTGCTGAGACAAAATACCCAACACCCAGAGTTAAGGAAGGAAAGGTTTATTTAGCTCACAGTTTATAGAGGTTTCAGTGTGTAATCAGCTGGCTCCAAGGCAGGGTGGTGGCACAGGGGCAACAGTTCAGGGTGGCACAAAACAGCAAATGCAACAAGAGCAAAAGGGAGAAGCAAGCCTTATTCCCTCCCTTGTATTGTATGCAGGCTACCTGCCCTAGAGCGGATGTAGCACTCACACCCCCAATCCCAGCACTATATAATGAACCAGTCACAAGCTCTAGATTCCAAAAAGCCCTCCCCCTATGACCACATGAGGTTTTGCGGGGACATTTAGACACAAACCATAACACCTGCTGCTGAGGATTGAGCCCAGTGCCTTTGTACTGACTATATCCTCAGCCCCTTTTTATTTTGAGACATGGTCTCACTGAGTCACTAAATTGCTCAGGCTGGGTTTGAACTTGCCATCCTCTTGCCTTAGCTTCCCACAGTGCTGGGATAATAGGTGTGTGTGCTTGTTTTAACCAGTTTTATAAATTTTTGAGCATTTATTCTAGTGTAAGGGCCTGTATGACTAAGAGACAGAGATAAATAGTACTATGGTTTTTGTTGTTCAACTTTAAATCCAACTTCAGTCAGCAAATACTTAGACTTTCTTTTATTGATTACCTTACAGCTAACTTACTATTTAGTAAGTAAGAACAAGCTTAACTAACAATTTGGGGCAATAGAAAAGGAGTAAAAAATGTATCTAGCTTCTGCAGTCCAAAGTAAGAAAATTTACTATAGCCTGAGTAATCGTCCCAGCTCTGGTAATCAGATGAGTTGATTTCTGTAAAATGACACTATAATATAGTCCTGTCCTATATTATAGTGCTTCTCATTCATTCCCTCCCATCCCCTACTCTACTCCACCTCTCTCCTCCCCCACCCGACCCCACCCCTTCACACTATATCTCCAGCTTTTTAAAATTTTTTTATTTGGGGGCCTTGCTAAGTTGCCTAGGCTGGGTTCAAATTTGACATCTTTCTGCTTCAGCCTGCCAGAGGGCTAGGAGTCCTGGTATGTGCCACCATGCCCAGCTGCTGAAGTACTACTATTAAAAGGCAGGAGACTGAGGCAGGAGGATCCCAAGTTCAAGGCCAGTATGGACAACGTAATGAGATTCTGTCTCAAACAAAAATAAAGAGCTATGGATGTGGCTCAGTGTGAAGACTCAGGTTTAATACCCATTACAAAAAATGGAAGTGTGGGCGGCCTGAAATCTTAACACTGAAATTAAAGATAACATTTAATTTATCAAGTATTTATTGTATATGTACATAAGCTAAAAACCCATTGAGGGAGTCTTAAGAATTTGGATGAGATAATTTTTGTAACTAACAATTGGCTATGCTAACATTGGTTATACTTTTTTATACATAGGTTATACTTTTAGTTTTAAAATTCTTTATTAGTACATGTTTGTAGTGCTTAATGATTAAATTCATCATGGGGAGTTGGTACATGTAGACAACACATTTTAATTCTTTATATATCCCATCTCCCCTCCTTCAACATACCTTTGAGTGTCCCAATATTAGAAATTAAAACATTTTTAAATGGATCATACAGTTCTTTTTGTTTTTTCCACATCAGACATGGATAACGTGCCAACATCGTAATAAGGTTTGAGGGAGGCACATCTCATACATATGACATGAACAGACACCTCACTAAACCAAAGGCGCTCCTACAGTTCCCTTGATTTAGCAAAACTGAACATGTAAGTTCATGTGGAGGGAGAAGCTTCTCATTTAGAATTATGTCCTAGACTGTATTGTTTTCTCATTTGATCCAATAAAAAGCAGCAGTCCAATACCATAGCATCCATGTGACTTAGCTTTACTGTAACCTTAGTCCTGGAGCTAATATATTCTTGTAAGTCTTTAGTAATAATAATTATACCTTTCATAAACATTTATATCTATTGTCTCATACTTCCTTGACTAGTTTGTCTATCAAACCATTGTTTTAGTTACTTTCTTGTCAGTGGGACGCAATGCTGGCCACCCACAGATTAAAGGAGAGGTTTATTTTGGCTCACAGGTTGTAGAGGTTTCAGTGCATGGTTGGCTGGCTCTAAGGCAAGGTAGCCTGGCAGAGGAGGGTTGCTTTTGGAATGGCAGAGAGTGATCAAAGGAGGAGGAGGGAGACAGAACCTTCCAGGCCATGCCCCGGTGACCCACCTCTGCCAACCAGGCTTCATCCCCCACCATCACTTTCAACTATGAACTCACCATGGGCTCATCCACTGATGCATATCACACCCTCATGATCCAGTTACCTCCCAAAAGCCCCACGTAGGAGTGCATGAGGCTTTGGGCGATCATGTAGATATAAACCATAACAGCCATTAAACAGTGTATACGCACACACAGTCCTGCCCTATATTATAGTGCTTCAGCCAACCATAGGCCACATGAATAACTTGATCCCATGTGACGATGCCTAGTGACATTGTATCCATCTTAATTTGTATACCTGCACTCTGTGATGTTCACACACTGACAGAATCGCCTAACATGTCATTTCTCAGAAGTTTCCTTGTTGTGAAATCATGCATCACTTAGTAATGGAAGTAAGGCTCTTCAAACACCATTAAGTGTGCTTATACAAAGCCAGATGGTGTATGTAGTGTGTCAGTCACTCCATGTGGCCTCCTGGTGTGATCAAGGCACTCAGTAACATGAGGTGTGTGAGGGTGCTGCCAGGACATGTCATACTGGGTTTTTAAAAGTTGATTAATTTTTCTGGTTTTTTGAGACAGGGTCTCACTATATGTACAGTACAGGCTGACCTCAAACTTGCAGTGTAGCTCAGGCTGGCCTTGCACTTATGATCTTCTTGCCTCAGTCTTCCGAGTGCTGGAATTATGGGTGTGCACCACTATACCCACCTAGAACTGTGGTACCTTGACTAAAGTTTACAAACTTAATTTGTTTTATGATTTTGAGGAAGATGGCTGCATTTGTGTTTGTGTGGGGAAGATGGCTGTGGCCTTGTTTGTCACTGATGCAGTTTGCAAAGGGAAGTAAAATTTTCCTGAAGGCTTTTGCTTGAGAACTGGATTGTTTGCAGACAGAAGCGTTCATAAACCGAGGTATTACTGCATGCTGTTTTAGAATAACCCCCATAATTAAAAGTATATGCTAACATAAGATTAAAAAGCATAGTAAATACATAAACCACTAACAGGCGTTTATTCTCATTATAAAGTGTTATGCACTGTTTATAATTTTATGTACTGTATTTCTACATGACTGGCAGCACAATGGGGTTATTTATATTAGCATCACCATAAACATGGAATACATTGTGCTACAACACTGTGACAGCTACAGTGTCACCGGGCAGTAAGAAGTTTCAGCTGTGTTACAGTCTTATGGGAGTGCCGCCTAAACTGCAATTCATCATTGACACAAGCATCATTATACAGTGCTCTATAATGTAAGAAGGATTTGAGGTTATTTAGGATAAGTATGTTCAGGATAGCAGAGAGATAACTGATAGCTTTTATCCCCTGACATGTGTCAGGCTCTGTGGCAGGCAGTTTATATACATTCTCATTTAATCGGAAGGGCAGTACCTGCATTCCCATTTTACAAGTGAGACTTCTCATGGCAAGGAAAAGGAAAGGCAGGAAATGGATCTTAGGGTGCGGTGAGGAAGATGCTGGTCCAAGTGGAGAGACCGATACTCTTGCAAAGAAGACAAGTGCTCTGTCAGAGTTATAGCCTCAGCCACTCAATTTAGAGATGTGGACTTCTAAACAGCAGACATTTTTACAGAAGGCAGGTATAGCTAACAATGCTAAGATTTTTTTGTTTATAGTTTGGTTGGTTTTGTCTTCAATCATAGAGATTTCTTTCTTGACTATTGGGGATTGAACTCAGGGCCTTTGCGCGCTATACAGTCTTAGCCCTTTTTATTTTTTGAGAGAGTCTCACTAAGTTACCTAGGCTGGCTGTGAATTTGTGTCTTCCTGCCTCAGCCTCCCAAATAGCTGGGGTCACAGGTGTGCATCATCATGCTTGTAAGTCATACAGATTTTTGTTAGACATGTCTTTGAACAATATTAATATTTAATCTTTTGATTGTATTTCATAAAAGGATAAAATGAGATACTGTCTTTAATAGCTAAATTTTGAAATGATTTAATGATGTGTGAACATTATGGCTATGAAAGGTAAGGGTGCTTACTAACAAGCAAACTGAATTATATGAAATCTCTCTGATATTTTCCTTTATTATTATTTAATATACAACAGAATTTGTTTACTAAGCCAGATGTAGTGGTGCATGCATATAATCCCAGCACTCAGCACTCAGGAGGCTGAGGCAGGAGGATTGCTGCAAATTGGAGGCCAGCCTGAACTGCTTAGTAAAATCCTGTCTCAAAAAGACAAAAAAAAGAAAAACCTTATTTACTACAGACAAATAAAATGTATAGTCCTACCAGTGGGTTGAATAAATTCTGATTTTTTCCCCCCTTTTGTTTCTTTCAGAAATATGGCTACACACACCTTTCTGCAGGAGAACTTCTTCGTGATGAAAGGAATAACCCCGAGTCACAGTATGGTGAACTCATTGGAAAGTACATTAAAGAAGGAAAGATTGTGCCAGTTGAGATCACTATCAGTTTATTAAAGAGGGTAAGGAATATGAATGTCAAACGTTCAAACTGGCAAGGAAACAAGAGATTAAATCCATTTTTCATTGGAGTAATGAAAATTCTGGGTGTTGAATTTCTTGCACATGGAAGGTAGTCATAATGTTAGAGAGTGGCAGAACTGGAAACTCCACTTTCACCTGGGAGGAAGTTGAACAGTAGCCAGGATTCTCTGCCTTGGACTAGGATCAGCTGTAGTTTAATTGAGCATCTGTGTATGCACACTTAACCCTTCATTCCCAGTGTTCAGGCAGTTGTTCTCCCTTCCATTTCTGTTTATTCTTCTGTCCCTGCCTTATCTGTCCTACCCGCCTCTGACTCCTTTCTTTTTGGTACTGGGAATTACTCCACCTGAAAACAGACACCTGGCCCTTACTTGGTAACTCTTTGCTGAAGACCCCTAGAGTATAGCCATTAATAGGCCTTCTGACTTAAACAGTGAAGGAGAACTACAGTGTTGGGAACAACAACAAAATAGCCGAAGCCTAATGGGAAGAAGACACATAGGGATCTGGATGGAGCCAGACACACTGAAGGATAAAGAGCGGCTCGTACACACCGTCTTAACTCTCTCTGGGAGGCTGCAGAACCCTGCTTCCATACCAGAATAAGTCCTTTTCCCCTCTTCCCTGGATCAAATGCTGTTTGTCTTAGTTATAGCTGAGTGTTACAAAAGTCCACATTCTTTTTACTTTTCAGCCCTTTTCGGGGAAGTACTGTTTCCATCTCCACTGAAACTGTTCTTGCATGTTGCTGATGATCTCTATCAAGTCCAGGGGATACTGTTAGCCATTGTTTTCTTCTAGTGTTTACCTCTGATCACTGTCCATTTAAAACTCATTCCTTTTTGGTTCCTTGTGACATCATTTCTGTTAATAATGCTGTTCAGCAGCTGGTATTTCTCAATCTTTGATAGTTCTTGTTATTTTGAAAGTTCCGTAAATGATGCGTCTCAGGAGTTTAATCTTGGTTCTCTTCAGTTCTGTATATATCTTGCTAGATTGTTTTCACCACACTCGACCCTTGCATTACGCCAACATTGCTGAAATTTACAGCTCCAGCACAAATCTTTGTTCTGAATTCCAACATATTTCTGACTAGAAGGCATTTAATAGGATGTCTCACATTGTCTCAAAATCGACATGTTGGAGGCTAAATGTATCAGCTAAAAGGTGATCTTCCTTTATTTTCTGTCTTGGTTATTGGTTCTGCCAGCCACTCAGCGTGGAACTACGGGAGCCATCCTACACGCTCTGCCTCCCTCAGTTTCTCAAACCCAGTCAGTGACAAAATCTTTCCAGCTGAAACTTTTTCTTCACTCTCTTCTCTCTGTCATCTCTTTTTTCTATCAACACTCTCACCTTAACCTGCTGTCTTTCCAGTCATACCTCCCATTACTCTCTACGCGTACATTAAGGTTCAGGTATACCTGCTTAGTTTAGATGCATCAAAGCTGTATGCGCTCTCGTTTTTCAGCCCTTCACACGTCTGCTTTTCACCACTTAGTGGACACGGGTCCTTGTCTGCTTGCCATTTTATTATTCACTATGTAAATCCACTGCCAACTCCCTCGTAAATCTGTCTCTGGCAGTTTCTCAGGCACTTGGGCTAATTTCTTTGTTTTATCATAGCATCCTTTATATACCTTGTTATAGAACTCACCATGTTATTCATACATCTCTGCCTCCACTATATGGTAAGCCCTCCAAGGGCAAGAGCAGTGACCTTGCTCTTCATGTTCACGGGCAGTAGGTATTGAATAAATGTATGGTGAGTGAAAATAATTGATGTACCTTCTTTAAATATCTTCCACTATGATAACTGGTGTAGAAAAGCTATTAACAAAAGCCCAAAAGTGTTTTGTAGAAGTTTTATGAATACTGGAGAAACAGCTAAATGCTGGAATAAAGCCAACCCTTAGAAAAGTCATTAGGGGTCCTTGGCAGCCATGTTCATCTTGAAGAACCAGGAAAGTTTGAGCATGGAGGATGATGAATGTCAGTTTGCTATGGGCTAGAGGCCCCTGCAAGGTCTGTCAGAGCCAGGCATCTTTGCTCATCCCGTGGTGATTGGAAGTGGCAAGGATTTAGAGGTTAGGAATTTGCACCTCCCATTCCCGCATTCCCTCTAAATGCAAGTTTTAGAAGAGGACGCTGAATTGCACTGGGGAAAAGCATTGATGCAGTGTTTTTTGCTTTTCCTACCTGTGTTTTGGGGGCAGTTGGTGGCCTTAGACTTATTTAGCTTTAGTTTTTTAAAAACATTGAATTTTATACTAATAATGCTAACACTTGTTTTTATATTTGTCTGAAGTTTTTTGTTTTGTTTTGTTGGTTTCTTTTTTGAGATAGGGTCCTGCAGTGTAGTTCAGGTTGGCTTTGAACTCACTGTGTAGCCCAGGCTGGCCTAAATCTTGTGGGGATCACCCTGCCTCAGCTCCCAAGTACTGGGATTACAGGTGTGTGCCACCACTCTGGGCAACCAAAGGTTTTTTGCTCTTGCACTTGGATGATAGCCAAGTTGAGTGCCTATGGAAATAGCATACATCTACCATAGCAAAATGGCTTAGGAAAAGCAAAGGGAGGGCAAGACCATCTCTTTTTGCTCGTGCAATGGCTACTTTCTTCTTATTACCACTTTTATTGTTTATTTACAACTTTGTGGATTTATATGTGAAAGCAGTATATGCTTGGATCAATTCGTACTGTCAACTTACCTGAACTAAGAGACTCCTGGAGAAGTGATGGAGTATGGGGCACTGTACTCATCACTAGATTAATCCACTGTTCACGGCTGAATGTGCTGTCAGGAGGTGGGGCGTGTTTGAGGAGTCAGGTCACAGGGAGCCTTTGGAGGGCGTATCTCTCTCTGGCCCTGGCCCCTATTACTTTGCTTCCTGACTACCGTAAGTGAGCAGATCTGCTGCACCACACCCTGCTCCAAACCCCTACCTTAGACGCAGCTTAGTATGGACTGAGACTGCTGAAACTATGAGCCAAAGAAGATCTCTCTTCCTTGAAGCTGTGAGGGTTGGGTACTTTGTCTTGACAGTGAGAAAGCTGAGCAATATTGTGCTGTATTTTCTGTCACTATAATAAAGTATCTGTGGTAACTAACTTATAAAGAGGAAAGATTCATTTTGTAATTGCAGTCTAAGATGGGGTAGACTATTGCTATGAGCTGCTGGTGAGGGTGCTAAATGGTAAAGACAAGGAGCTCATAGTGGAGTAAATGGCTCACTTCATTGCCAGGAAAAAGAAAAAACAAAAGGGCAGGAGTATGCCCCTAGTGACCTATGATCCTCTATAAGGCCCCTCCTCAAGGTCCACAGGGCCTCACAATAGTGCCACTCTGGTGTTCAGGCCTTTGGGGGACAATGAGCATGCAAACTATAGTACTATATGCTTACTCTATAAACTTGGAAACTACCAAGAAAATTTGTGTGTGTGTGTGTGTGAAATGAGATGGTACATACCCATAACGCCACTCGCTTCAGGTAGCCAACAGTGTATTAACACTGTTTCATTTCCATGTAATCTATTTTTCAGTGTGCCTTATGCTCCTCCCTTATGTATCAAAGAATAACAAAACAAATTGTATTCACTATCTTTCTTAATCTTCTTTGTTATTGTAGTATTGAACCTAAATCTTTTTTCTTTAGGAAATGGATCAAACAATGGCTGCCAATGCCCAGAAGAATAAATTCCTGATTGATGGGTTTCCAAGAAATCAAGACAACCTCCAAGGCTGGAACAAGACCATGGATGGGAAAGCAGATGTATCTTTTGTTCTGTTTTTTGACTGTAATAATGAGGTAATGAAAAATCTTCATCTGCCCATGTAGGCTTTAAGCAATTAATGGTCGGCTATTAAGGAAAACATGATTTTTTAATTTATATTTTTATCTTCTGTTGGCAGAAGTATATTTTTGAATTGGTAGACTGGGTAGACAGAAAAGCACTAGCTTGCTTTTGAAGTATTACATGCTGTTTATTTTTTATTTTTTTTATTTTATTTATTTATTTATTTATTTATTTATTTTAAAGAATAAAAGAAGGATAACATAATAATAGGGGGGACTTAGCAAATTACAGACAAAATGGTAGGAAATTATCAATGGTTATCGTTTTACATATTATTGTCTACAAAATAGTTTCTCAGGAAAACAAATAGACAAATAATAGTGAGTTACAGACAAAAGAGGTAGGAGATTATCAAGAGTTGTTGTACTATACTTTGGTATCTTCAAAGTGGCTTCTAAAGAAAATAAATAGAGCTATACACGAGTGACCTACTGAAAAATCATTAACTATTCTCAATGGTTGTTGTAGGAAACACATAATAATAAACATACATCTATTTATGAAATAGGATAGGAACATTACAAACTTTACACAGTTATACATGCTGTTTAGTATCAGCAATCTTGTGAACATAAATTTTGCTGTTTTCAAAAAAACAAGTCAGTTTTTAAAAAATAATAATATGCTTTTGTAATGTTAGATAATGAAGGTAAACTACTACCTTCTTACATATGCAATATTTTCAGAGAGTGTGTTCATTGGAAAAGAAACACATTTTTTGTTTTGTTTTTTGTTTTTGGTACCAGAAATTGAACTCATGACCTCAGGCTTGCCAGGCAAGCGCTTATGCTGCTGAGCTACATCCCTGGACCAGAAACACGTTTTTTGAAAGTTGGAACATAACCTGGTTTATCTTCTAAGAATAAAATGACCTTGAAAAAAGGCAGGGAAAGGTGCAGACCTATAATCCCAGCCCTGGCAGTTTAGTGACTCAATGACACCTTGTCTCAAAAGAGTAAAAAGGCTGTAGGTATAGCTCTGTGGGAAGACCCTTAGTTCAGTACTTAGTACCTAGGAGGGGAAAAGCAATTTTTGTTTTATGTTGCTTTTTTCTAATATTTCTCATAACATACAAGATATACCTTTGAATAACTAAGTGAATTTCTCGGAATTATTTAATTAAAAGGCCTGATTCTGTTTGACAGCTGCTGTGATATAAATGTCATTAAATTAATGCCAGCAGCCTGAAAGAATAAGAATCTGAGGTAGTGCCTTGAAGGAAATTGGCTATTCTTAGGCTAAGTTACTAATGTGCCTTTGGTAGAGAGTCTCTCCGCAGCCTTTGAGTTGTTTTAAAAATGTAACTCTCTTGTTCCAACCCCCAAAATATGTTTTCACTTATTCTTCAAAGTTAACTTTAAAATGTTACCACAGCTTTATAACTAAGGAATGTTTATTCACGATTAACAAGAGATGCTTTATTCAAATGTGTTGAGTCTTAAATATGTGGATATTTATGGAATTATTATAAAGTAAGCAAAAATGGAACAAAGTTTGAGGCATGTAATTCATACCTAATAAGTTAATAATATATCCAAGATGGAACCATACACATTCAGATCTTTTTATTGCGGTTTGAAAAAAATACACACAGGAAAAACTGAGTCATGAATGAATTCTTATTATGCTCTGTACTTAACCTAGTTTATATAAATTGAACCACATGTTTAAATTTTAAAAGACTGCATGTTGATTAATGAATTAGACACATTGGGTTTCATGCAGGATATTTTTCTTTTGGTAGCCTCTTCAGAATTTATTTTCTTTTGAGACTAAAAGAATGGCAAGCTCATATTTTTTGTTTGCAAAATAACTTTTTAAAATAAATCTCTTTTTAGATCTGTATTGAACGATGCCTTGAGAGGGGAAAAAGTAGTGGTAGAAGTGATGACAACAGAGAGAGCTTGGAAAAGAGGTACTTTTCAGTTTCTGCATTTAATCACCTTAATCCCAGTGTGGAATTTGAGTGACACTAGATTCCTGCTCCATTTGGTCCAGAGGAAGAACGAGCCGTGCTTACCTAGGTGCAGTGCCTTGTGTAAAGAGATAAGTAAATTCGTAATTTGGAAGAGGAGGGGCGGATCCCTGTAATGTTACAACATGTGCTTCTTTTGCAGGATTCAGACTTACCTTCAGTCAACAAAGCCAATTATTGACTTATATGAAAAAATGGGGAAAGTCAAGAAGATAGATGCATCCAGATCTGTTGAAGAAGTGAGTGCCTCTGACCTGTTTTTGAAGAAAAAGTCAAGGGAAAATGTGATTATTTCTTTTGGTATAGGCAGGAGAAAAAGAAATACTGTCATAGATTAGTTTGCTTTTTAAGACATTTGAGACTAAATGAGAAAATTAGGTTTTTCTCCTTTTTGAATAGGTCTAAAAAGGGCTTTATAACTTTAGACTTGTTTTTCATGAGATGTGGGTGGTTTATTAATTCCAAACCTCTTTGCCCAAACACTGGAAAATTGGTACTTTGAGTTCTATGATTTGGATCATGTTCTCTTTTTAAAAATCTATAGTGTGACTGTCACGTCATCTAGCTCCAGAGCCCCAGGCTGCTTTTTCCCTTCCATCACAGAACAAATAGATCCAGAGGTCCAGGGTTCCAGGACTTACCACTTGTCTGCCTTCATAAGTTAGTGAGCTCCACAAATTGTGGTTTGAGCCCATGGTGCCTGCAGATCTTTCTAGTGTCTTTTAATACATTCATGATGGGACCATATACTATGACTGTCCCATGAAGAGGCTTATACCACAGTCACGCATGTGCCACTGGTGGTTTAAGCTGTGGTTTAGGTTTAATCCTGCTCTGCCTTCCCCTGCTTCTCTGAATCTACCTGTTAGAAGTGATAAAGAAAGGTCCAGCGGAAGAAGATTCTGTTGATCTTTTTAAAAATTTATGTCTAAAGTAAAATAGGGGGCTGGGGATTTAGCTCAGCGGCAAAGCGCCTGCCTGGCAAGCACAAGGTCGTGAGTTCGGTTCCCGGTACCAGAGAAAAACCAAAAAAAAAAAAAAAGTAAAATAGATGACACGAAGAAACTAGTGATTTTTAAAATGACCTATTAAAAATAATATAAAATTTGCTGCTAGGAACTTAGCTACATGGGAAGAGGTACAGATTCTGGTTTTTATTTTGTTTGTTTGGTTTTTTTCATTCTTTCATTTTATTTTGGTGCTGGGAATTGAAGAGAAGGCCTCGTACATGCTATGTAGTGTTTTAACAATATCTGCTTTTAAGATTATCTTTTTCCTTTGCAGGTGTTTGATGAAGTTGTGAAGATTTTTGATAAAGAAGGCTAACTCTGAACCTGAAAGCATCCTTGAAATCATGCTTGAATAATGCTTTGATAGCTGCTATCCAACCCCTTTTTAAGGCAGTTTTAATCTTTCAAAATTACATCTCAATTAATGGCTAGAAAATGCATAGTAAAACATAAAATACATAGTAAGACAGTAAATTTTTTTTTCTCGGTCACAGGAGTAGATAATGAATTCAGGTTTAGCTTCATCTTAGTTCTTATGGTGCTCACAAAACAAAGGTATCAGCTAGTTCTTTGTTTTTATTAAAAATATTGTCCTTTTTATAGTTTGTGCCTTCTGTGAGCATATTACATCCCTTTAGTAGTTACAACATGACGACTGGGCATGGTGGCCACACATAATCTCAGTACTCAGGAAGCTGAGGCAGGAGAATTGCTGCAAGTTCAAGGCCAACCTAGGCTACGTAGTGAGTTTAAGGCCAGCCTAAACTACATAGTGAGACCCTGTCTCAAAAACATAAAACAAAACAAAAAATGTGATTACAACATGTTAGGACTAGGGATTCCCACTTCCTTTTCCTGTAGGTTTCAAATTCTAACCTGTTAAGTGAATTTGTGGACCAAATTTGAAAGGAACTTCTTGTGTAGTCAGTTCTTACATGAGGTGTTGGTAAACAAACTCAGAAAATGGATTGCTAGCAATGTTTTAATATTTATCAAATAACTGACCATTTCCTGTAGAAAGATAAAACTTAGGTTACGACAGCTTGTGCAAAGTTGTATGATAGGCCATATAGTCTTTGCTTCCAAGGTTTGGGTTGGGGTCACAAGGGATTCAGAGCCTGACAGAATTGTCAGCTTTATTATGACATAATCAGAGGGTGCGGGGCAAGGATCACATGCAGTAATTGTGTTCCTTTTGCTCTGTTACATTGTGTTATTCATGGTTAAACTGATAACACAATCCTAGAAGTAGAACCTTGAAATGCATGTGCTAGATTTATGCTGAAATGATTCAGTTCTTGCATTAGTAACAATTGAGGTTTTTTGTTTGTTTCCTAGATTAAATATAGGATTAGGGTAAAATTGCAAAACAGCAATCTAGTGATTAGATTTCCCATTTGTACTTTATTTTCTGGAATATCTTTTCATAGTTATTTGTTTAAGAAGATTTAAAAATCATTGCACTTTGGTCAGAAAAATAATAAATATATCTTATAATGTTCAATTCTCTTCTGGTACTTTTGTTCAGTAAATTCTTTTTTAGACATCATGTTGAAGCATTGAAAGGCACAAAATGTATAAAAGACTGTAGAGTCCAAATGAATTTTCTACCCTTTCGTTAAAAAATTTCAGAAATTTATTTTTCCTTTTCCTTCTATCACTAATGCTAAGTGATATTCAAGGTTCTTAACAGAGATTCCTTAAATGTTTCTCATTTTCAGCACTTATACTATTTGGTATACAGGGTTTAATAGGACATGCAATTTTTGTCTTTGTACAACTAGATTTTATATTTAAAATCATTGGGAAAAAGATGTGAGGGCGGTCTGGCTAGACCATCGGTCACTCCATAGATACCCAGGTTGATTTGGCTGATCTGGCTGGCTGGCTGGGTGTTCCCTTCCTCACTGCTCCATGCTGGTGGGACAGAGGGGGGCCATTTCTATGGTCAAGGGTATATGAGTAGATGCATTCCCCTGCTAGAACCTGCACAAACGCTCAGAAGGGCTAGGGGTATAGCGCAGTGGTAGTGTGTTTATATGCAAAAGGCCCTGGATTTGATCTTCACCACAGGAAAAGAAATACTGTAAAGTAATTGGGAATAATGAGGACAAGTTGATGATTATTCTTATATTGCAATAGAGTCATTTACTTCTATGCATGTTATGAAATTTACTTATTAATGGGAAATTTTCTACCTTATTTGCTCTTAGGCAAGAAGTATCCCTTAGTACTGGATCATTTTGATGAGAAATGTTAGAATTTGTACTCTGGTTATTGCAGTTTCTTTGAAGAGATGATAACAAGTTTTTATCTAATGCTTCAGGCCAGCCAGTACAGAGGGAAATTTTGGTGGTTTCATCACCTAGCTATAATGAAGCAAGATTGAAGGGTTTTGAGAGCATTCCTGTTCACACAAATGAAATCTGTCAGATGGGACTCTAAATAGTTACACTGATAATTATAAGAGCACCCTTGCAGTTTTGAAGACTTCTGAGACTAGGTGTTTTGCTTCCTTTCATCAGATACCTTCTTGAAGCATTTGAGAACAGAAACCAAGAAACATGGTAATTACTAAGTTATAAGGCTTTGCTTTTAAATAGAAAACCATGTTGGCAATATTGAATCTTGAAGCTGATTGAGATACATGTACCTTCGTTGGTTTGTGAAAGATGGCATTCCATTTGTTAAAAGTAACAGTCACCGAGAAGCTGTTGGGTCTCTTTAAAGACCCTAATTTGAGTCTTGGTGTATTTTTTGAACTAACATTATTTCCACTCAGTGATAGTGAATGTGTATGAAATATTCAGCAAAATAATTCCAATAAACTTTGTGCTGTGGCCTTTGCTATTTGCTGTTTCAGATTTTTGTGTTTTAAAACATTGAAGATCGGGACATTCCATTTAACATCTGACTGCTCACACAGTGGTAGCAGAGTTCAGGATCCAGGAGAATTTTCTGCTGCCCCCCTATGTACTTTGTTTGGGCATCTTAGGCAGAAAGCACGATGGTGTCCTATATATTCAAGGAGTTACCTGGATAAAGGCACCTGCACTTTATTTTGTCCATGAGAAGCCTCAGTTTTTGTCTGAGGGAGAAATTGATAGATCAGTGTGTCTCAGGATGTGGGCTTTTGTAGACTTGTAGCTTTGTTTTTTATTTTGTTTTGTGCAGTACTGGGCATTCACAGGGCTTCCATGCTGTTACATCACCCAGCCTTTTTAAAATTTTTATTATGAGATAGTGTCTCCCTTCATTGTCCAGAGTCTCAACCTTGGCGAGCTTCTGCCTCAGCCTGCACCATCACATCCCGCTGGGCTTGTGACTTTGATCTTGTATCTCTACTGGTTGCCACACATTCCTCTGTTCCCTGGAGACGATAGTGATTGAAACAGTAGGCCAGCCCAGGTCAGCATCTTTTCTCTGGAGGTCTGGACCTTCATCTTTAAACAGACACTATCTGCACAGGCCATGGTGCTACAAACACATTCTCTGCCATCTGTTCAGAACACTGACACGGCTAGACCTTCAGATGTCTTCTGTTGGGTAATTTCAATCATTCTTACACACCATTATTTCTATTCTTCCTAACCCACCTGTTCCTCAGCCAAATTAAGTACTCTTTAATTCTAAGCACTTTCTTTTTTCCATTTTTCCTTTTTTAATAAAAGAAAAGAAGCTTGTTCATTGTGTACCAAAAGAAAGGAGAACCGTGGTCCTAATACCTATCCCTTTTATTCCCTAATTCCTCAGGCATTGTGAGTATTCTTGGATCCAGGTATGGTTGCGATGGGTATGGTTATTATGGTGATCTGGTGTGGGACCTCAGGAAGCTCTGAAGGTTACAATCTCCTGCTGTGGGGACCACCGAAGGACAAAATTGATTTTAGGCTGAGGTCGACCATACTAGCACCAATCTATCCGGCTCAGGCCTTTATGGGTGGATCCCTGCTGCACCCACCCATCAGCAGAGCCTACTTGGGTTTTCTCTGTGGCTTTGTCTTCCTCTAAGACTCAGGCCTAAAAGAAGAGTTAACTTATTTTGTCTTATTTAGGGAGACAGTAATACATCAGAACATTTCTCTAGATGAAGTTCATGCAGCTATAGAATATTATTCTTTTTTTTTTTTTTTTTTGGTTTTTCTCTGGTACTGGGAACCGAACTCACGACCTTGCGCTTGCCAGGCAGGCGCTTTGCCGCTGAGCTAAATCCCCAGCCCCTAGAATATTATTCTTTATGAAACAATATGTATGATACATTTTGCACTGGCCTTCAACAGCCTTACCAACCAGCGGAGAGCACCTGCGGGGCTAGGTTAGCAGATACATTACTGACACAGATCACTGGAAGGACGGAAGGCAGACAAACTCCTGGACACCGAGCCTGTGACTTGTTAAAGGCGTGATTTGTGTTTTCTTCTGAGGCAGACAGGGGCTTGACTTTATCTTTTTCGGTACCAGGAATTGAACTCAGGACCTTGTGCTTGCCAGGCAGGCGCTGTGCCACTGAGCTGTACACCAGCCTGACAGCTGCTTTTTTAAAACAAAAACAACAATGACTCTTCACTTGGACTTACAGATGTCTAATAGGTAGCTAAAAGCAGGAACAAAATTTGACTTTCATTTTTTATCCCTCTCCCTTATTACCTTAAAACTTTGGGTCAGATTCTTTCTCTGGATGTTAATCACTTAGAGAGTATCTCTAAAAGTCAGGGAAACAAGGCTGACTAGCCCTGAATTTGCATAGCCTATCTGCTCTCCTTTCAAGACTGAGGACGCTGAGATGAGAAGTTTGCAGGGACATTGAACTACCAAGTGGCCAGGAATCTCCAGCTGTTGTCTTGAATCTATGGTGTACTTGGATTCCAGGAGAGCCTCCCCAAAATTGAGACCATACTGTCCCCTTTAAGCAGCAAGGAGTTGTCCTGCAGTCATCTCGCAAAAGCACAGTAGAGAGAATGACTAGCCAGACCTTAAAGGCTGGCTTGTTCTTTTGCTAACGGGCCAGTCTGGTCCTCTTCAGATCTATGCCCCTTTCATCTACCCAAGCGGAAGGTCTTTCCCTACTTCCCTGACTGCCTAGTAAATCTGCCCGTGCCTCTCACTGCAAAGCCTGGAATTTCTCCTGTGACAGGAGACCCTTTTCCACAGGTTGAGTTGAGGTCTCCATCTCCTCTTTGAGGGAACTCGACCCCTGCAGTGACATTACCGTGTCCCAGCCGTGATGTCACACCGACACGCTCTGGTTCCCAAACGCTGGATTGTCTTCTATACGCTGGGCTCAAGCAGCATATATACACACATCGTATGCGTCTTCATGTGGTCGCATAACCACATTTATAAAGAAAACATGTCGAAAAGCTACGTATGCCCCTTTTTAAAATGTTCTTATACTATTGAAGGTTTCCTGAAAGGAATATACTCAGTAGCTACTGTGAAGTTGGGAAAACAGTGCCCGCTTCGGCGGCACATACACTAAAATTGAAGCTGGGAACGTAAATGATTCATTCAGTCCGTCTGAGCTTCCAAGAAAACCCCTGCAGTGAATGAATTCCCTACCCAGTTGCTAAGCCCCAGTGGCCCTGTGAGGACTCTGGGTTGAACTAGGCTTCTCACAGCTGCCTGGCCGCAAAGGTTTACAGAGCCAGAGGGAAAGACATTGGGTAGACTCAGCAGTCAGCACTCAAAAG